CCAGTGTGACTGCTCACCTTTGTTTTCTTGTCTTAAAAAACAAAGCTAAGAAGTCACTATGTACAAGAGACCGCGAGCTTGAACTTCCGCAACACAACTTCATTCATTATCGTCTTCAAGTTATTATTAAAACAAATCCACATGGTGAAGTGGGCAGTTTACATATTCCTCAATGTGAATACTGGGTCGGTGCAGCACATTGGACTGTTCTGAGCTCCTCACACTCCACAGTCATCGGTCCTGTGATGGATTCTGCGAGTGAGGGTGAGCGAAGTGGAGAGGGAGGCGACGGAGATGTGGAAGAGCAGCTGCCATATGTTCCTCAGGCCGAGCAGGTACAAGTTGCATAGGACAATCACGCCTAAAAGAAGGAAGGATTTCTGCTTCTTCAGGGACGAATGGAACAGGTACAGGTGGCACTACAGACACAGTAACAAAAAGATGCGTTACCCGGAGCTTGGCAAGAGGTTGTTACTGTCTGCAATGAGCAGCCGTGTCAAGCTGTCAACTGTTATTTACCTGAAGAGCACAGCAGATAAACGCAATGAAAAATGCAGCAACGTTCCAAATGCCTTCGTAGTCATCCTTTGGAAAGTCACATTAATAACAGTTGGGTTAACTTCAGTCTTGGCTGAAAATTTACTCCTGCATATTTTAGATTAAAATAGCCATCTAAAAATGACATTTTTTTTTAAAACAGCTAAAATGCAATTGCTCTTGTAACCCCTTGCTCTATACAGTTCCGGTCAGAAGTCTGCAAATATAAATTAGTAGAATAAATTTGGGGCTTTTAGTAATTTACCTCAAACATTCTCTGTTCAGGGTGGACTGACAACATACAAAAATAAGAATTGGGCGCAGAAGGTTCACATATACAGCTACATGTAGCTGTATTAAACTGCAGTTTTGAATCTATCAGATGCATTATGATTTTCAAATAACAATAATGAAAAAGGATTCACAACAAATAGCAAAGGCTATTCTGAACAAAAACAACAAAAATCTTCAGCTGATAAAACCTTTGATCAGACCCTTGAGTTGCTCACACCTGGAATGTGTTCTCTGCAAGGTGCACCCCACGGATCACATTCAAAGATGCACACATAATATTTAGGACAAGAGAAAGGATGCCTGGGGCGGTCACTGGTTCAAGCCTCTGATTTACACCAGCTGGAAGGAAAGAAAACAACAACATACTTTTATCACATTGAGATAGCGTAATATAAATCCTCCTAATATCTGTATTACTTTAGCATGAAGTATAAGAGACTGATTGAGAATTGCCTTACTGGATGCAACACCTTGCTCTATGTGCCCATTTGCTGTCCCGTTTGTCAGCTCCACTTCATCCAGATTGATTAGTTGAGGTGGACGGATCCTCAGGTCCTCTTGGACCTCTGCCAGAGTCACCTCCAGAGCAGGACCACCACTCTGGTTGTACTGCTGCTTCAGTTTTTGAATAGTGCTGTCTAATAGGTAGAAGCAATATTTTTACTTGGATGGATAGATTGAACTTATTTTAAACAAACTGCTCATTAAACAAAAGCATAAGAGCACTTGGTAGAAAATGTTGTGCAAAATCATTTTTTCTTCCCTCACCAAATTCCAAAAATGGATATGGCCTGGCTGCCAGGGAAATGACGGCGCTGTTGAAGCATGCGGTGAACTCCCAACGTAGGTCTTCTAGGAAGCAGAAGGCTTTAGCAACAGGGAGGCTGCTGTGGCACACGCTCATGTAGGATACACCCTCTGAGGAGATGAAGCTGAACAGGTGAGAGGAGACAAGGTGTTTGGTAAACAAACAGCCTGGCACAGCGAGGCATGGATGACCTCGTGTCGGCACCAGAAGGTCCAGGCATGGGCTGATTCCCGGCAGGAATCAAAGAAAAATAAAAAACTAGGATATTATCGTAATTAGAAATGAACCCACAACTTTTCAGGATTTTTTTTTAATCGTGGGCTATGCCTAATATGTTCACTTTCTTAAATACAAAAAAATATTGCTCAGGTTTCTGAATCCTTACTATATATGGAGCTTCTGGCCTTTAACGGTGGCCCTCTCAGGGAAACGGGGCAGAGACTTGCTGATGGTCCTGAGCTGCTGCTTCCTCTCCTGGAGCTCTTTATTGTGCTCGAAGTCAGTGGAAGCTGACAGAGGGAGTCCATCCCTGACCCGCACCACGAACGCAAACAGGATCAGAGACATGATAGCCTTAGTCTGTGGAGGATATGAAGCCTACATGGGACAGACGGAAAAAAAAGAGATGAAGACAATTACCCTTTTATACACTCTGCTTAGTTTGACACAACAGTTATCTTTGGTGATCATTCTAAAGCATATTAAACATGAAAACATAATATTACAATCATATGTCTAATCATAGATTTAGACATTTTATTGGAAACTATGAGATTATTATGTAATGGACCTAGACTAATAAAGATATTATTAACCTGCAATTAACATACGAAAGTCCAATTAAATGTTCGTATTAACGTAATAATATTCAGAGATTATTAATGTCTTTGTATATACTGCGTAAGACGGAAAATAATTTTTAATTTAGTAATTAATCTTAATTAATGATGTGCATTTAGACTACACATTTAAGTTACACCTTACCTCATTGTTATGGAGTTCATGCTGCACCTTGTCACAATGCTACTGTAAGTTAGCTCACAGCAGCATCATACAAGCCAATCACACTGCTCACTGAAAAGCCAAACTCCGATAAACGACCTACGAAGGTAATTAGTAATTCATATAACCAAGGTCGAAGAACCTATAAACAAATGGGAGTAGGACGGCTGATTTAAACTGTCCAGGGGGCTAACTTGATTTCTTGTTTCTGGATAACAACCATCACAACAAATCTTCTACGGTACAACAAGAGGGACAAACTTCCCAAAGGAAACCCCTGCTCTTAAAAAAAGAAGAAGGAAGTAGCACAAGCTAACGGTTTACCGTCAGTGACTAGCTCGTTTTACCTGGCGAGCTACTGTACGTGGGTAAGTTATTTAATATTAATTAGCTTTAAATATATAATGCGAGTTGGAAGCTTTGAATAAATTTGTGTAGCACACGGATAAATGTGTTTAATGAAAGAAACGGTGGAGAATGCAATGGAAGTTACTACGCAAACAGCACCTAGCGCAGCTAGCAGTAGATAGCTGAGAGGTAGCTAATGCAACCATTTTGATAGCGCCTGTGCTTTTTGTTTTACCAAGTGAACAATGTATTCTCTTTTTATTGTATTTTTAACTCTCCTAATGAACTGTAGCATGGCTTTGTTGTTGGGTTAGCTTGTGACGGAATTGCAATAGACGGCATAAATGTGTTCTTTTGTAAAAAAAAAAAAAAAAAAAAGGTTAATTGTTTTTCCTTTAATTTTGAAGAATACATAGGATACAAATTTAAAATGATGTTTTGTGCAGTTTATCTTGAATTTATATTTGGGGTCTATACTAGCTATTTTAACACATTTTTAAAAAAATATTTTTTCGCGTTACTATGACAACTTCCTTAACTAGTCCAGCTGTGGAGGTCTAAAGACAATGTAGGATGAGATCGCATGAAAAAAATAAGCTTTAATACATTAAGATAGATGTGCGGTAATGAAATACTGAGCTTCACAGGGAAATACTCTGCACTACTGCAGCATATCGTTTGATGTTGAAATAAATTGTTCTCTATTTTTAGCAGTGTCGAGTTGCAGTCTGAATGTGGCACTACGGGCTAGACCTCTAAAAGTAAACATCTGTTATATGATACACATTATACAACCAGTTCTGCGATGGTGGTGGGGCCAACAAGTCACGAACACCATCACTTTAGGCTTTTCATCTTAATTGTGTACTTTCTTAATTGATTTAATCACAGGCACAGCAAGACCAGAACTAATAGAAAAGGCTATTTCTTCTCATTTTCTTTATACTTGCCCCTGTGTTTTTAGGTCACATGCACTTTGATCACAATGGGGCTAAAAGACCGCCCACAGTGTTACTTTGATGTGGAACTCAACCGGGAGCCAGGTAAGGAAATCATTATTTGTCAAATTAAGAGAAAACAAGAAAAAAAAAAACAAAAAAACAGCACAAGTTTAATTTAAACCACAAACTTTCAACAGAAACCTTCACTATGTTATTTTCTTTAATTCTAACAAACGAAAGTGCAACACACAATAGTTCACTAGCCTGATAGACTGGTTTGGTTTCAACTGTTCCAAATAAGTGTATTGTATTGAAGGCTTGTTTGAATCTGTTGTCCTGGAGTGGTTGTTTTGTTTTGTCAGTGGTAACTATTTATTGTAAATAAAAGCAGATTACATAGCCAATATTTTATTTGTTTATTTTTTATTTTTTGGCAATTTTTCTTTGTTTTTTTCTTGTTTCAAAAAAAAAACTTAAATAATACATGTAAAAAATTCTCCCTTGCTTTCTGTAGTTGGGCGCATTGTCTTTCAGCTGTTCTCGGATGTTTGTCCCAAGACAAGCAAAAACTTTCTTTGTTTGTGCACTGGTAAGTTATTTTCACTCACTGTTGTCCACCTTTGTATTATCCTTTTCAGACATTTAGCAACATTTTGTGTATAAGTCATTTAATGAACTGGATCTTGGCTGGATTAGATGTGAAACCGAACAAGCTGTTATTCCTAATGCTTATTTAGCCAATCTATATCTTTAGTAATAGTTATCTGGTAGATTTATATATTTTATAATGTACAACAAAATCAAATTAACAATGCAATTACTATGATATGGAATTATATTGGTCATCCAGTAAATTTGCTCCCAGTTTAAGTTTTTAAAATATAGTAGCCTCATCCCAGGACTTTCATTTTGAAACTACTTTTACATTTTTTTTAACAGAAGGACTTTCTAGAATTGTTATTCAGTTTGTAGTTCTGTGAGAGTTTTCTTAATAATCATGTTGTTTCAGGTGAAAAGGGAACTGGGAAAGTCACAAGGAAAAAACTGTGTTACAAAGGCTCCACATTTCACAGAGTTGTGAAAAACTTCATGATTCAAGGAGGTGACTTCACAGAAGGTAATATCATAAATATCCTTGCTGCTTTGAAAGATTAAGTGATTGAATGATGTGGGATTAGCACAGTTTTTCTCAATTCCGGACCTCAGACCCTGCATGTTTCAGGTGTTTCCCTTTTGTCACACACCTAGATTGAATCTGTGGGTAATTAACAGACTATCAGCAGTACTTGAAGCCTGCAGAAGAGGGCATGCAGTCATTTGAATCAGGTGTTCTGGAAGAGAGGCACATCTAAAACATGCAGAGCAGGGGAGCATAAGGACTAGAATTGAGAAGCAATTGAATTAGCAACTGTGCTTTGACATTGGGTTGACATTTAAGAATAAATTTGGGCAAATAAAAATGTACCAAAAGAAAAAACATGCATGTTGAAAAGATGCAAAGAGTTTTTCATTAAGGTGCCTGAAACAAACAGGTTCACTGCAGTTTTGCTAACCTGGAAACTTGCTGCTTCCTGAAACTGATCTACAGAAAAATGATTGATAAGTCAACACTTTTTTAGGTGTTTTGTTTGCCTTATTCAAAACATGTTAATTTGACATAAAAAAAAGTTTATTTTCTTTATGGCTGCAGGAACTGGAAGAGGAGGAGAGTCAATATATGGTGGCTACTTTGAAGGTATTTTTATATTGATTCATGTAATTAAAGAAACTGATAATAAATGTGTGTTTAAGTATTGCAATCGTGTGCTATTTGAGCAAAGTTTTGCATGTTCTTTCCAGCTGAATCATTAATTTCTTGTGGCTTTCCCAATGTGTGAATTTAATCAAATCAGCATGGGAAGTAGCCATTCTCGTTACTAAATGCTACCATCCTCCTGCTAAAACTATCAACATATTCTCTTATTTATAGAGTGGTCTTTTGCAAAATGAGAAGGTAAGAGATGTGCACAGTTCAGTAACACCATGCCAACATAGTCATCACAACAAGGTCCGACCCAAAAGATTACATGCCCTGATACACTTTCCATTCAGTCAGATATCCCTTTTGTCCTCGATGTTTGCCTGCAACCTGCATTTGTAGTGTCTTTAGATCTGATATGATGGCTATAATTCAATTATTGACTTGATGAGATGGAATATATGATGGAAAGTAGGACCTACTTCACTTTTGAGATTTTAGTTCTAGAATAATAAATAATTACACATCATTTTTACAATGTAATAAAATAATTTCTCAGTTTGAAGAATGTTTCTCCAAATTATTGCCAAGGTATTCAGTTAATTTACTATCATACCATCTTTGATAATGACACAGTTCCAAATCGGTCTCCAGTTCTCTGTTAATGAAAGATCTTCGAGACATTGGTTGTATCATAAAATATAGTCCTGTAGGCAAATTAGAGAAAAGAGTAAAGACAAACTGTCTCAGAGGAAAACACTACAAGTTCCAGGAAATAAGTTTTTATAATATTTAACCATAAAACATAACCCTTATTTCTCCTTGAATTTTATGGACCCAAATGTTTGAATAATTTTCTAAAGCTTCAAACTGGCGGTTTGGTGACTTTAAAGATATTTACAGAAAGTTTGTCAGTTTTTATAGAAGAGACTGACGTACAGGTTTGGACTGTATATGCAGTTTACTCAGAACAATGATGGAAATTTGCTTTATTAATCCAGATGTATGTTTTTTTCAAGATTCAATCAGAGTTGAGGTGGTTTTTAAATACACTTTAATTTATTTATTTTTTTTATCTCCACAACTATTTCTAGTAACATTAACTGGGGAACACCCTCTGAAGCTTTGATTCCCCTCTGTCTGTTTCCAGATGAGAATTTCATTCTCAAACATGACAAAGCCTTCCTGCTGTCCATGGCCAATCGTGGGAAGAACACCAATGGCTCCCAGTTTTTTATGTGAGTAAGACTCAATTTATATAAAGCACAACTTTTATTCCAACTGAAGCTCTGTCTTAGTTTTTACTTCCTGACCCTCGCCCTGTTTTGACCCTGCAGAGTAGTATTTGCCATCTAAAATCCCCTCTCTCTGTATGTGTGTTAGATTTCAAAGTGCAGAGCAACATTGGATTCATTCTTTTTTTTTTTCACCTACAAATGTGTTACATTTTTTCTCTTGCCGTTTTTGTGTAAAATTTACAGAAACTCTAGCATCCTGCTCTTCCAAGGTAATGTGTCTCAAAGGCTGTGTTTCTCTCTCTCTCCTGACTTTCTTTTTCATTTTGTAGTTTTGTATTTTCAAACATGTATCACAATGTACTGTTTACTTTTGAAATGCTTTAGTTTTACTAATATATTCAGGCAGATCACGTTATTTGGACTGAAAGATCTTCTGAATCACAAAAAGGCATAATTGTTATCAGTTTGAACTTTTCCTTCACAAGTAGCTGCTTGAGACATTAAGGAGGATTTGTATTTTCTTTCCTTTATTAATTTGATAAAATTAAAACATTATTTTACAGCTTACTACATTTTTAAGTGATAATTAAAAATTTAAACTGCAAGATAAACCAAGAGTGGTTCTGTATGTTACATATTTTAGGATTATTCAGTTGCAGCCATGTTGTGTGAGTGATTTGTTTTCTCAGTTATCAATGTTTACATTTTTTTTCCCATGAACCCTTCACTGTCATTGATCGACTCAACTGGATTAACCACAAACAGCACCACTAAAATGGCTCCTCACCTTGATGGGTAAGAAGCTCTTCAGCAATTTCCAGATATATAGAAAAAAAAATCTCATCTTAAGTTCTATGAAAGGTTTCATAGAATGTGTCTAAATAATATTTGAAAGCCGTAAATAACATTTCATCCTTCATTCCATCTGATTGATCGATAGAGGGTTCCCTTTATTTTACTTTTCATGCACTAACTTACCTTTGAGCTTTCTTCATAAATCCAAACAGAAAATAATAGTAAGTTTGGACTTCAATTGTTCCAGGAGTACATTTTCTGTTTATCTCCGACCAGCGTCCATGTTGTCTTCGGCCTCGTCATCTCTGGGTTTGAAGTGATAAAGAAGATTGAGGGATTGAAGACTGATTCAGCGAGCAGACCCTACGCTGACGTGAGAGTGGTCGACTGCGGACAGCTGATCACAAAGTCTGCAAATGATGGTCAGTGCAGTGTTTTTCTTGAAAACCCATGTTATGCTGTCTTGCGGGAAAATGGTTTTATTTGACAAATATCACTAAATGTAAAATGCAAATGCCTTTATAGTGTTCTTTAAATTTAAAACATTTTAATTTCAGTGCTTGAGGGCAAGCGGAAAAGGACTTCATCCATCAACTCCGATGACTCCAATTTTTCATCATCTGAAAGTGAATCAGAAGAAAAGCCCAAACACCGAAAGCGACTGGCAAAAAGTAAACCATCTAAAAAGAAAAGGAAAGAAGGAAAAAAGGTCAAGAAAACTGAAAATGTGCCTTCTAATCAAAGGTATGTTTTAACATTGAAAAAATGTCCATTATCAAGATGAATTCTTATGATGTAAGTACGTTTGTTTGCGTTCCTGCTCTTTAAGGTCTGAAGAAAAAGAGACGGCAGCAGGTGAAAGTAAACCTGAAGAGGAGAAGGAAACTGGTGGGAAAAGGGAGAAGCCTGTTGTTCGGCCTGAGGAAATCCCACCTGTGCCAGAGAATCGCTTCCTGCTGCGACGGGACATGCCAGCACAAGATGACAAAACAGAACCGTTAGTTATCAAGATTATTACAGGATATTGAACACACATAACACACCTCAAAAGTATTCAGTCCCCTGGAACTTAATAATGCTTTGTTTCATTACAACCACAAACACTTATGTAATCTATTGAGATTTTATATGACAGGCAAAACCAAAATGAAAAGGAAAGAAATTATATATTTTGCTGAATAAATTCAAAGAAATATACCATGTACTTGTATTTACCCCTATTTAATCAGAACTCTTTTGGAGTATATTTCTGCCAACCTATAGCTGAAGGAAAATGTCTCTAAACATCTATTTTTACAGATACTCAATTATGTTTGGAGGGCCATTCTCAGAATTAGTATATACTTTGATCTAAATGATTCCTTTGTGGCTTAGGGTATATATTTCGTATCTAAGTTTGCACTGTAGCTCCACTTATTGTCATATTAACTTCAACCTGCTTTGCTTTTGAAGGGTGTGAATTGCAGTTTTAGTATTTGTTGGATTTTGCATGTTAGGAAAAAGTTTCTATTTAGAGATTGTTTGACCAGACAACCTTCTTCCACACGGGTGGCGTGTACACTACATGGCTTGTAATTAACTTCCATCATGTCTTCACATAGGTTTCATTCTACAGTTTTTGTTTTTCTGATAAATGCTTCATTTCCTGGCCAGCCAGCCATGTTCTATATTTGGATTATGGGTTTAACAACTCTCTTTTAGATATTCAAACTTTACATTTTTGCCTTACACATAAACAAGGGGCATGAATACTTTTGCAAGGTAGTGTATGCAGGACTTAGTGTAGTTATTTAATTAATTTGAAATGTAATTGTATCTTTCAGTCTTGAGAAAGAAGAAGCTGGTCCTTTAGTTGAACAGAAACCAGCTGTGACAAAGTCCGGTCGGAAGATCAGAGGAAGAGGAACAATTGTATGCTCTTCTCTTGATATTAAGGACTCCATATTTGTTTTCATGTAAAATTCTTAAAATCATCTGTTTTCGTTTTTGTTCAGAACATTTATCAAAGAGAAACTCATTTTTGTGCCTAAAATATAAAGAGTGGATTTTCAAAATTAACCATTCTCCTTTTTTTTTGTTTTTCCTTTTAGAGATATCACACTCCAACCAGATCTAAATCACGTTCTACATCTGTTGAAGAGCGTGGGGGGAGTGAAACTCCACCACACTGGAAAGTGGAAACAAAGAGACCCAAGGCTTTTCCTCCCCAGAGCCCGGAAAGGTGGAGCAAAGGAGACAAGTAGGAATTATGCTCTGCTTCCCACCTCTTTGGATGTTTTTTCTGTATTCATTTGTCTTCATGTTTATTTTACTTGAACAGACTTAAAGAGCATTCTTCAAGCAAGTGGGAAAATAGAAGCAAATCTCCTCAATCCCACTCTGGAGGACTTTCCTCAGACCAAAGCTCTGAGAGGTCAAGCCAGCACCGGCTTCCAAAAAAAGAGAAGAAAAAAGCCAAACACAAGAAGAAAGCCAAAAAGCGCAAACATGGCAAGAAGAAAAGCTCCAAGAACAAATCTCGAGAACACTATGACTCAGAGGGTGAAAAATCAGCAACTTCTGCTAGGAGGTCCAAATCCCAATCAGCGACCCAGTCTCCCTCAAGTGAACATCGATCTTCTGGGAGGAGAAGGCGGAGATCCTCCCTGTCTTTTTCCAAATCCTACTCCAGGTCCTACACATCCAGTCGATCCAGATCACAAGGAAAATCCAGGTCTTATTCACAGTCCAGAAGCTTCTCTAGGTCACGAAGTCGATCTTTGTCTGGATCCAGGTCTCGGTCTTATTCTCACTCCCGATCAAGATCACGGTCAAGGTACAGATCAAGATCACGGTCATCTTCTCAGTCCAGGTCGAGATCAGGGTCGAGATACACGTCCAGATCCCGATCTTTGTCCTCTAGAAAAAGGAGTTTTTCCAGATCTCCAAGGAAGAGAAAGACAACCAAACCCAAAATGGATGCAATGATGTTTGTGACTCGGAAGGTCCAAGATAAAAAGATTACACCTGTTCCCATACTGTCAGCTCTCCCAGTAGCTGAAACGGTTCCTGTGATCCCACTGAGTGACAGTCCTCCTCCTTCTCGGTGGAAACCAGACCAAAAGCCCTGGAAGCCCTCCTACATTCATATTCAAGAAATCAAAGCTAAGGTTATGCACAGTAAACCCTCTACTGCTGGTCTGGCAGGGGACAGCTTCTCCAAAAAAACTCACACACCGAAGTCCATACCAGAAGATGTTGAAGAAAAGTCGGCTCACAAAACATCACACAGCGGGTCCTCCAGAAGCAAGTCCTTCAGTCGCTCCAAGAGCCGAAGTTCTAGCAGGTCCAGGTCAAGATCGGCAGAGCCGTACCGGAGCAAGTCATCGTCCTGTGACAGATCAGACTCTGAAAAGGATGAAAAAGGAGGAAGCAGCAAGAAGAATTCATTAGATAAAGAATGGAAGGAGTATTACAGTTCTCTCAACAGAATAAAAAATTTAGATAAATATATTTTGGCCAACAAGAGTCAAGATGGACTCTCGGGATCAGGAAAAGAAGTGAGCAGTGAGCATAGCCCTGATTTTAGTGCCTCTTCGGAGAACAAAAGAAAGAGGGGGAACTCAGAAGAGCCAGAAGCAAAACGTTACTCTTCACTGGCAGAGGAAAGCTTCAAAAGCCGCTCTGAGTGGGATAGTGACAGTGACAAAGCTACCCAAAGCAACACTGCAACCGAGGTGCAACCGGTCCTGTCCAGCACGATGCTGGCGACCGGATGGGATTCAGACAGAGATTCTGAGAATCCAGCAGACCGAAAAACGTTTGGTTCTGAAAAAGAGGAAGGAGAAGCGAGTTCTGAATCAGACTATGAGGCCTTGAAGAAGACGTCAAAAGCAGTGACCGAGCTAGGATATAGAGTTGCTGTCGCGGTAGCGGCCGCTTCCTCTTCTTGTCCCTCAGATGATGGTGCTCATAAAGTTGTTCAACTGGAGCACAAGAAGAGCAAGAAAAAAGCCAAACGGAAACATAAACATAAGAGGAAAGGAGAGAGTAAGAGCAGTTCTCATCATGGGAAGGACAAAGCTAAAAAGTCCAAGAGAAAACACCAGAAGCTGAAAGAGACTTTCCATTGGCAGCCGCCATTAGAGTTTGACGAGGAGGAAGAGGATGACGAGTCTAAAAGAGAGAGAAGTAGTCCTGGTAGAGAGGTTGAAGAAAACATGGGTGAAGACTTTAACAAAAATAACCAAGATTCAACTGATTTGAATAAGAGGTCTGTGAAAGAAGAAGAAAAGATTCAACTGAGATCCAAAGAAAACATTGAAAGCACAAATCACTCTGAGCAAGCATCCAGCCAGAACAGCGTCAAAGACCAAGATTCTTTAGATGATATGGAAATCTGCACCCCTGAACACAATGTTGACATCATTGAACACCCTGTTATGCCTGATGTGTCCAACGCTGCCACTAAATTAACCCTACATTCTACCTCAAAATCATCAGAAGTAGTAAGTACTGATGGTGGATCTCCTCAGAGAAACGCCCAGCCTTATGTCACTTCCTCATCAACAACTGCTGGACCACGAGAAGAAGCACCACCTGGCAAAGCAGTCATAAACTTCAAATGGAAGCCATTAAAACGAATGGCGGTCACGCCGGAGGTAAATGTCCAGGCCATCATGGTGAAAAGCAAACAAAACAACGAGAGCATCCAGCCTCTGGGCATGCAGGGAGTGAAAATGGAGATCAAGAGTAAAAACCGAGTCCGACCGGGTTCGCTGTTTGATGAGGTTCGTAAAACGGTACGGCTCAACCAGAGGCCACGAAACCAGGACAGTTCAAGTGAGGAGAGATCCTCGCTTGAAAGATCTGTGGGGAAGGCCAGAGGTGCATCGCGCTCGCCAAAGAAATCCAGCTCCGCATCGAGAAAGTCCCGCTCTGCTTCCAGCCACCGTTCCCGTTCCAGAGGCTGGTCTCGCTCCTACAGTAGATCCAGAAGTAGATCCCGTAGCTACAGCTACTCCTCCAGGTAAGAGACAAACATCACGACACCTGTTTAAACTGCCAAATCACTTTTGTTCAAATCACTTTTATCGTTGTTTCTGAAGGAGCCGCAGCCGTAGTCAGAGAACCCGCAGACGAAGATCTCGCTCTCGCAGCAGCACATATCGAAGTTACAGCAGGCATAGGTACACAATCTCTGTTATTTAATCATCTATTTCAATTAACAGGAATTTAGCTTCTTTGTATGGAGCTACAAAAGTGCAAAATTCACAACTTGACTAGATCAAGACGAAGCCCTCCAGAGAGTCGTGTTCAGTTCATATATTTATGTTCTTCAATCAAGATGTATATGTAAAATGGATGTGGATGGTACTTCTACATTTAGGATTAATTTAATGTAGCAGCAGTATTTATGTTGTTTTGCTTGGAAAACACTTGCGTGTTTTGCAAGTTAGGAGGTTGAAATATTTCTCGGTGCACAACCGCATAAGAACTCCTGAAACATTTCTCCTCCTTGGTTTCTGCTAATTTAATCATCTTAATTTTAGCTCTTAAATGTCTTGAATATTCCTAGATTCTCAATGTTAGGTCTGAAAGTTTGCAGAGTTAAGCCTTAAATTTGAATACTTGTTCATTCTTGACTATGTATTTGTTCCATATGTTGTAGTTCTGGCCAAAGGGACCACAGCTACCCTGCTAATACTACAAGCTTTTTAATTCATGGAAGCAATAGGCTTCAAAAAGTACATTTCTCTGCAGACCTGACATTTAACTGGGCACTTAAAACATTTATCGCTTGACATTTTGGCATTATTGATACTTGATATACAGAAGCAGAGTCCTGGAGGTAAATAAAAATGTGTTTTTTTTTCTTCTCTTCACTGAATGATAATTTTTGTTTATGGAGTGTGTTTTATGATACCTATCATCTAATTTTGTGCTTTTCCTTTGCATTCCCAACAGTCGGTCGTACAGTAGAAGTCCCTCCAGAAGCCACTCACATCATCGCCGCCGGAGGTCCAGGTGTGTTAAACTCCTCAGACTCAAACTCGTGGCACTGTCGTCATCTTTCAGATTTACAATGCTTTAGTAAAAATGTATAAAAATGATAAATATCTGAATGTATTTAATTGGGGAAAAAAAAAGTGCTGTAGTTATTACTTGCATTTCTGACAGTTTGTATCTTCCATGTGCATTTCTGCAGTAAAATCTCAAATCTCATATTTTTCTAATCAGCATCTGAAACCTGGTTGAATTGGCTCGATATCGGCTTCAGTTATTTTGGCTGTTTGTGCTTACTAACTCTAAATCCTAATATTTAGCGATGCATTTCTTATACTTAACTTATTGTTACCACAAGAATGTTCTGATACTCATTCTGAATACCACTAAAACCAAACCCAAATAATCTTTTATATTTTGTTCTTTTTTATTTTGCTACAGGTCCGACTCCTATGACAGCTATTCCAGCAGGAGTCGGAGCGTGAGCAGGAAACGAGGGCGCAGGCGAAGTGAGAGCTATAGGAGCTCTGAACACCGCTCACGGTAAAACAACTGTGAAGTGGATCTCTATTCAACCTTTATTCAGATTAGCTTTATCTTCGTAGACATTCTCTCTTCATGCTATGAATAAAATATTCATGAGTAATTTATTGAGTAGGCTATTTCCTATGGCGATGCTTCCCGATCAAATAAAGGCGTCCGCATCCTTGTGATCATCTCTCTTGACAACTAAAAGCTGAAATGTTTTGTTGTGATCCGTCTGCTTCAGGTCGTCCCGCTCTTCAAGTCGCAGTTCTTCCAGGCACAGGAGTCACAGCCGCAGCAGTCGCTACAGCTGAGCCTCGCCTCAGCTGAGAGGGGACACACATATTTTTATACTGTGCTAAAGTTCATTATGTGAGATGAAGGGATGATCACTATGGTAGTGAATGTGAATATATCTCGACAGCAGTCGGTAGAGCATCTAGTTACTCTGCTGAAATTTTACATGTTTGCTATGAGAGAGGAGTCGAAAATAATTAACATTGTCGTATATTTGTGTGTTCTTTAACATTTTCTTCTTGTAAGCTAAATGGTGCAATTACTATTCTCTTAAAAACATTTTTAATGTGTTTGAAAAAGTTTTTTTTTTTTTTTAGGTGAGGTAAAATCTGCCTGTCTTAAAGTCCTTGTTGTAATTAGTTGTCTCTGAATGAACAGATGAATGTAGAAGCTGTACCTAAAGTATATTATCTCAGACTCTTGTTGTTAATGACATTTATGAAATATCACCACTCTTTGAAGTTCTGTTTCTTTATTTTGTCACCTAACAATGTTTTGGCTTTGCATTTATTGTGCTTCCGATATTATTGAGTGAGCTGATACATAGGCTTCTATCAATTGCAATGCCTCCGTTTGATCTGCAGGGGGCATGTTTCCATGCCTGAGTAAAGACAGGATCAAATCAGCTTTAATTTTCAGTTTATCATTCAATATCAGATATAGCAGAAAAAAATAAACAACCTTTATTTTTATATTTAACTATATATAATATATTGAGGTAACTTTATTTTTATAATGATTTTACTTTATTATTTAAAGTAAACAAGAATGTATAAGGTTTCCAAAGTTATTTATTAAAAAACTGGTTTTAGTAGAAAATGTATTGCAGTTCTTTAACGAAATGATTAAATATTTTTTTTCATTTTAGGTCTAATGCCCAATATGCTTTAGAAACAAACATAACATTCTGTGATATTGTGAGATTAAACCAAATAACTTAATATATTAAATAGGAGAAATGCCTGATCAACTAAAATATGTAAAAAATATTAAAATCCTGTTTACCTGTTTTTATATAAAATTAAAACTGTGAGGCTGGATTTTGGTTTTTTCACCAGCTGAAAAAACCAAACGTTTGCCACATTGGCCAAAAGTACCACATTGAAAGCAAATTAAAAAATCTTGTTCTCTTTTTACATGCTCTCTAATAACTAAACGAGTAATATTTTAATAAAACAAATCATGTAGTCTGGCTTTTCAAAATATGAACTGGAAAAATAGAAAAATGGACTATGTGTCAGTCTTTGAAAACAAATACGGTAGAGCCCAGTGGTGACGGGGATGATCAGTTTTTGAAAGCATTCGCTGTACTTAGCCAATGTTTTTATTTATTTATTTATTTTAGTGTTACTGGCCTTTACTAAACAGTAAGTAGGGTGGAGGGAGTTGGAAGACATGCACCAAATGGCTCAGAACAACCATATCAAGGAATGAAGCCTCTATACACCAACTGAGCCACGAACTGTTGGTTCTCACTATGAAACTGGCATAAAAGGGATATGTGTATAAGTTGTAAGTCATCAGGTTAAAATAGATAAATACCTGGAATATTGCTGTAATGACTCTAAATGATCATTTTACCTTCTTGAATTTTGTTTTTCTGCGGATATGCGCATATAGAGCGAAAAACTTGTGATAGGGCGCTTGTGCTGCAGTTGGACTTCCAGTGACTGCTGCCATGTGGGAATTGAGTGAACTCTCTGACCCCCGCACGTGTCTGCCCGCCACCTGACGTCACACCATTCCGAGCAGGAGCGCAAAAACACCCGGAAGCGCTCGCGCCAGGCTTTGCGCCACGCGGCCGCTGCGCGACCTTCGCATCCGCGTCTTTATACGTCAACCCGGGCAGCGGAGGGAAAATGCGTCTGAACGTGAACTTCCACTTGTCCCTCCGTGCAAAAACAGTGCGGTGTCCCTTTAAAAGCGTCTGACAAAAAGCCCATATGATCCCCGAGCTCCAATCACCAATTCCTTCTGCAAAAGCAGTCTCTGCATTTTTGTCTGTCTGAACGCCACAGCTACACTCTTGAGGTGGGAAAAGAGACAGAGGAAAGGGCGATAAAAAAAAAAAAACTGCAGAAATGTGACAATCCAACGATCGTTTACATGGCGAGGGGGAAACCGCAGCGAAAGGAGTTATTCTGGGACTCCTTGGAGCCTCGCAGCGCTGGATCAAAATGGTAGGCTGCAGGCTGCATTTTTGTTTATTTTCTGTCCCTTTTCTTTCACCTGCAAGTTGAGCCGCTCAGCGGGGCCGACTGAACTTAACGCACTTCATCGTCGCGACGTCCTGCCAGGTTGTTGTTACCCGCCGGTTGCGGTGTTTGCAGAGAAGTTTGCAACTTGCGCACACGGCTGGAGTTTGGGAATCGAGGCTGCCCCTGAAGAATGCAGCTGCTGCTACAAGAGCTGAGGAGATGCGCGGAAGGAGTTAAATTCCTTCATCTCAGGGCGCTTCTGCAACAAACCACCGGGTCGTGATGGGCGCACATGTTCAGAGGTCGGGGGTGAAAGTAAAGGTGGCACTTTTTTTCCCTCTTTGTCTGAGCAGCACTTGTGCCTGAATGTTGTCAGGAAGAAATGTGCACAGAGAATCAGCTGAGAGGAAGAGATGTCACTGCCCATGTTTTCAGAACTTAGCCTGGTCGCACAGGTGCATCTCTGTAAATTGCAGTGGCATGTAAAAGTTAATTCATGCCAATAGTTCAATTCAGAAACATTTATTTAATTACTGTTATATTCCTTTTGATTAACCACATCTGAGCCAGATGTCAGAAGTGTCTTTGCAGGAGGAAAAGGACTGGACTGTTTATGTTTTTGCTAAATTGCTGGTGTTGCTCTTGGCTCTGTGGCATGTCGGTTACTTGCCATAAAGAGATGTCTACATAACACAAATTTCACTTTTTGAATGCAACTGCTGAAAAAGAATGTGCTTTCAATAATATTTAGATTTATCGACTTGCACCTGCATATAAATGGTTAAACGGGAATGTCATCTTTCATATAAAAATGTGATTCATTTTTACTCGTTTGCATCTGCTGTTTCTGTAAAGAACTATTTTTAAGATTTACAGAGGTAGCAACTCAGATTCTTAGCATATTCATCTTTCTTATAAATTTAAAAACCTTTTAATGAGATGGTAAAAAAAGTGTTGGAGTAACCAACTTTTTCTTCAGCTGTTTTAGTTTCAGATTAAAACAGCAAGTTGCTGCACACTGCCACACAGCTTTCCGAAAGGATCGAAAACTACTGCAAGACAGACAGTCTGTATCAAAACAACACTAAATAAGTGCTATAAATACTATCAATATACCCGAGCGTACAGGAAAGAGTGTGGCTGCTCCGGAGTCTGATAGTGAAGCCAACGGTCCGCTCTGGCTCCGGGGTCATTTCAGGATGCCTCATTAGGAAAGCATGTGGAGCTGGATGCAGTGGTGGAGTAATCCCAGCGCACGCTCACATCTGGAGGCTTGGGTTAATATCTGGGTCAGGTCAGCCAGGTCAGCCCTGGTGCTCACTGGGTGGCTTCTGCCAGGAGCTAAGAGGTATCATGGAGTTTGCTTATTGCTCTGTTTCTTTTTTTCTTCTTCTCTTTTCTCTGTTGGAAAGACATGAGAGAGAAACCGCAGCGTAGTTGGTGTGAGTACGGTGACTGTTATCCCTCGCTGATTTAAAGATAGTTTATCTCTGATTGTTTTTGGGCCTAGATAAATGCTGCAAGCACTTTATGTACCTCAAACGGGGTCGGTTTCATGTAAAGTCCCTGTTTCTCATTAGCCATATGTTACGTAACTAATGGTTGAATTACATGAGAGGCTCTCAAACCAAACCAGATGGAGATGAGGACTAGTGGTGTAGAGGCAAATAGAAACTATAAATGATGACAGAAAGAGGTATATTGTACAATAATGTAGAAAGATGCAAAGTTAAAATTGGTAAAAAAAAAAAAAAAAAGAGCTGCCACAAAGAGAACAACTCTTCTCTCTGTTATTTTCTGTTATGAAATAACAGAAAACTAAATTTCACAGGAATATTGAATGTGTGCAAATTATTCTACAACACAAACTTGCAACACGACGACCTCTAAGGGTTAAAAAAAACAATGTCGCAAAATGTGACCTGAAACATCACCATGTCAACCGCAGACAACAGTAGAAAAAGTATATTTATATTTAAGGAAATGAAAGCAGGTGAAAGTTCTCCTGTATTTAGTTGGCAGAATTTCTCTTCTTATTTGTATTATTTTACATCAGCATCATGAATTTGGACATCATTTCTCCACAGAAGGAAACAAATTGTAGCTCTGAAAGCTGTTTTTTTTCCTCATGACTGTACTTGCCCGTGTTTGTTAATCAGTCCGAGGTTTCATAGACTGCGATTGCTCAGTGTTAAACATCAACACACAGAGCATGTGCAGGCATGATAATCTCTTTGGTTTTCATTTAACAGCCCCTAATGTTTTTTTTGATAAGCACAAAATGTGAAACTAAGTACCACCTCAAAGATTCGCGAAACCACAAGGTGTTCTTTCTTTTTTAGTATGACTGTGTTTAGAGTACCAGCCATGTAGGTCGTCTCTTTTAAACAGGCCTGAGCAGCTTTTGTCTCTGTTTTCATGGCACTCCTGCCAAGCCGTGGATTTCTCTGTCTCCGAGTGGAGAGGGATGAAACCAACATCAGTCTTTGTTAAATCGTTACAGTGCAGCCATTCCTGAGACCTGACAACAAACGGCAGCAGGCAGGCTCAGGTCCTGGTGGGAGATCGGTTTTCTGAGAAACCCTTACCTCCGTGTAGGTGCTGCAGATTTATGCCACAGAGATTGGGAGCTGTGGACATCGCTATGCAGACGGCAAGGTCAGACGCATAGAGACACACTGAGCTTATGTAAGGGTTCTTTTGTCCACGTTCCGTCAAATGACATAAGGTTGTTTTAAAGAGGTTTCCTTCATTGAGATTTCTGTCTTTGAAGAGGAGCATATAAAAATGTCAAAACTGAAGTTAATTTTTTTGCTGACATGAGGAAAGCAAAGTGTCCGCTGTAAGGGATATCAAAGGATTAAAAAAATACACTTTTGAGGGATTTGGCATATATTTTACAAAATGGCTGATAAAATATTTCTGATTTTTTTTTCTTTTGGTTCTTATTTGCCCTCTAAGAATCTACCCCATAGCTCAGAAAAGTCAATCCAATTCTTTTTTGCGTAGTGTGTTTGAGACGATTTAAACTTCGGACCAATGTCAAACATAAGCCGGTAAAGAATCCACCTGACGTACTGGAAAGCAAATGAATTCAGAGAGCTCAGCACTCACCGAGCTGATCATCAGAAAACAAGAGAGCCGGGCAGTGAAGGAATGGAAAGCACAATCCGTTTGCAAAGCAAAGCTAACAATTCTTGTGAAACAAAAACACAGATTGTTCCCTGGCAGCTAAATTTGAAATCAAAAGCTGGTCGAAACAAATGGAGAAGCCTGAACAAGATAAACATGCAGGATGAGGTCTAACTATAACAAAAAGAAAATATTGTAGAGTATGAAATGATTGGAGTGAAGTGGTATTGACCAATAAATCACAAACCCAGATTGAAGCCAGAACGGAATGATTGAGATTTGGTCTAATACTCTTACTGCCGTCTTAACTGATGATGCAAATTGTTTATTGATCTGGATTTGACTGACACAATTTTATGGCAAATATTGCACTTGGCTTTTCTGTTGGCGTCATCAAAAATAATCAATCCATCAATCACTTGGGAAAGATTATTTGTAAAAATCAGTTTCTTTCTCTGCTTTTCCATGTGAATAACAGATCTTGTGTGTTATGTAACTTATCTATTTTAAATAACAGCTTTGAATGTAAATCTGAGTAACTGAGAAAACAGAGCATTTTATAATCTGGCACCAGGAATTTGCTTTTTGCTCACTGGCTGTTGCTTTAGAAAGCCAACGCTCTTATGTTTTTCTTCTCTGTCCTTTCTGACCTTCTCATGAAATATGCCAGCGGAATCCAAACTTGCTCACAGACACACATGTTCCTGACGGACTTGAGCGATTTCTCTGATGAGGAGCTCTTCATTTCAAGATATGAAGCAGATGATAAATATATTACAATATGTGTCAGTTGATGTCCGTCAGGCCTGCCTGTGCTCTATGTCTTCTGCAATTGTCTATGATAACCATCTTTATTGGTAGATGTTATTGGTAGAACTGTTAAAAAATGAACAGTTCTTGAGTCAGGATTGATTTTTGCAACTATTCAGATAGTGCCTTGCAAAACCATTGAAGTTGCCACAAACGAATGCATCTTGTTATAGACCAACTCAATCCCAGTTATAATTGTGAGATGGAAGAATGTGTTGGAGTAAAAGTCCAGACCTAAATCCAATTGAGAACCTGAGGCAAGACTTCAAAAAGTAATATTTAAGGACACTCTTCATCCACTCTGACTGAACGTGACTTGCCATTAAGCAAATATGGTAAAGTGGGCAAAACTCATAAAGTCATTTCAGAGACTTGCAGCAGCAAATTGTCTACTCATAAGGGCTGAATACAAATGCAAGCCACATTTTTTCATGTTCATTTATTGTACCTCCCAATCTTGCACCAGTTTGCAAAAGTCCAAAAAAACACTTTGTGATTTGTATTGTAACATGTCAAACTGTGATGGGATAATGAATGCCTCTGCAAGGCACTTTATGTGTTTGGAAACCCACATTAATCCCGGCAGGTTTCCACCGTCCTTGTTTGCTATTGCAAGTGGGCGTGTCGTGCAGGCTGCAGTGTGCTGGTTTGGGAACAGTGTGTTATAACTCCAACAGGGCAGTGTTGTGTGAAGCATCGTGGCGTGTGGAAGAGATGCCAGGCTGCACCACGGGCCCCTCTCTCTTGGCCAGGTTTCCTGACTCAGCGCTTCCTATACCAGATCACTGGCCCAGACACAAGCTTCCTGGCAGAGCATCAGTGTGGACGCTCCTGTCCCAGTGCGCTATTCTCTAGCCCTTCTCAGCCTGCGTGTGGCTCCTTTTGATTATCCAGCTTGCTCATCATCTCAGCTGCCTGTTGCCTCCTTTCAAAATGGCTTCGCATTAAGCAACACTTGGTCACACACGCGTCCCCTGCGGCCAAACCTGTCCCACACATGCTGTCAAATGTTTCCATCATGGACGTTGTCCAACATGCTG